TCATTTATTTATTTATTCATTTATTTATTTTTAAATCACTTGACCCATCAGAAACGACCTGGCCATGGTTTATGAATTATTTTAAAGTGCTAACTAATGATAACAGGGTACAGGCATTTCAGAGAGACGGAAGACTCATCAATGCGTTTAGCCGCTGAGGCATCCTAATGACTTGTACTGTGGACTGCAAAGGGCAGTAAATAGGCCACAGTGAAAATCTTTACAAAAGATAATGTTTACTCTGTGGTAAAGTCAAGGGATGCATTGAGGATGTTCACAGGTCATGTGTCATTTTAACACCTTGTTATTGAGGATTTCAATCTTGTCCTGATCCAGTCTGTGTTGGCGGTTGTAGGCCTCCATGGTAGTGCAGGAGCGCTCCATCTCGCGGTTGAGGACGCAGACAATGTTTTCGAAAGTGCTCACTTTGAGCTCCAGCTCCTGGCAGCGCCGGCTTAGCTCAGCCACTCTGGTTTTTTCACTCTGTAGCTGCAGTTCCAAAGCGGCACCCATGGCACTGGGCAGCGGGGTGAAGGATGTGGTTAGGGTCGGGGCACATGCTCCCTGCACAGGAGCTGCAACACACCCACCCAGCTGGCTCATCTTGAGTTCCAGATCCCTGAGGGACTGGTGGAGCTCCTGCAGCTTCTGGCTGGCCACCTCCAGGCTTTGGGGTTGCAGGCTCTCCAGGCTCACCTTGATGCCCATGATGAAATGCAGAAGCAGGTTAAGGTGTTCATACGAACACTGGCGCTCATGGTCATGGATCTTCTCTTTCTCCACCTTGGAATGAATGGAAGATAAAAGCAGAAACACATTAGGAAACTAAACAAAATCCTTTATTGTGTATTATGATGATGTGAAACACTGCCACCACAGAAGAAAATAATAATACGAGCACAAAGCAAATAATAGAGAAATTAATGGATATATACACTATACAAAGTATTCACAGCTGTAACTGTTCAGATTTAAGAGATTGCACAGAAAAACATTTGCATATTACATTAAATAGATTAGCTACATCTAATAAAATGTAAATTTAATCAGGTTAAATACAACTCTAATATGTAAGCTAAGTCCTTTTTTTTCCTGAAAAAGACTTTTTTGGATGACGTGGAATAGATTTTTGATCATTTCCTTTATTTTTGTTTGGCTTCATTTTATTTGTGTGCTTTGCTAATAATGTTAAAAATTGAGTATAAAGGCATCCTAAGTGGTCTTGAACACACAAGTGTTCAGATCTTTATCTTTTGATAAATATGGACAATAGTGAGTGAAAGAATTACTCACAGATGAACCAAAAATCCAGTATGTTTCGCAACTCAGCATGTCAATGCCTAGATAACTATAGTTCATTTACTAGTTAACAATCCTGTATCTTAATCTTATTTTTAAAGTTCAATCGCTGCTAACCATCCATCCCTTGCCATTCCTGTTTGTTGTTTCCCTAGTGACAAGCTGATATCTGTTGTTGTAGCAGTAAATGTGAGAATATCTTACGCATCCTGGCACGTCCACATTGACTACCTGTTCAGTATAACAACTGACTAATTGGGCTAGCTCTTGGAAACTGGGACTAGAACTTAGACTCAGTAACAGCTCCCAACTTTAGAACAGAACAATAACAGTGTTCGTATTGAGTCTAAAAACATACATTTTATTAATGGACTAGAATAATTCTTTATTTTCATTGTACATGTACAACAAAATTGTGGAACGTACCACGTTCCCAAATTAGGCTTAACTTAAAACTAGTACTGAAATCATGTTGAATCATTTTTTTCTTTATTGTTTTTAATTGGCTTGTTCAAATGGTTAGACTTAAGATCTGAGACTTTGCTTCAGATTCTTAACGGCAGATCACTGGGTCTGTGAGAAACTTGATTTAAGATGCACTAGATCAGCAACCAGTTAGGAACAGGCTGCAAGCTGCAACAAAATCATCTACTGCCAATGTTTTGTTGGCAGATTCCACAGCTGGTGGTTCAGATAGAATCCAGTTTGGAAGCAGTGGCTAGAATGCCATATAACACATCAAACTCAAGGCCTGCAGCCCAAATGTGGCCCGCCAAATCATTTATATGGCCCACAGGAGCTTGTGCATGATTGTCTTAAAATAAGTTTACTATATGCTGCTTAAAAGCGCACATTGACCATAAACTACATCTCCCACAATGCCCCCGGTACTGGGGGCAAGAGTGATGTACTGCCAGATCTGTTATTTAAATATACGTGTGGTATCCACAGAAACTCCGCTAAAAACTCATAAATCCATTTCAACGATCACCAAAAAGCCAAAACAGCACAAGATTAAAGAGCAGGTAAATAGATTCCGCAAAAAGATGTAAACACAAAGTGTGGATCCCACGTACAGGACATGCCCTTTGGGTGCAAAAAGCCGACATTTCACAGATTGCGAAACTTCAGATTTCTTCACTCTCCAACCAAAACTCACTCAACCAGCAAGAAGACAAGATCACGATCATGTTTGAAAAACATTATAATGAATTCTCACTTTCTTTCTTTCCCTCTTTCCCTCACCACCATCTCTCCGTGTGCTTTGAGACTAGTTTCCCATCACAACTCTCTATTTTCTGCCTTACTTGCTTGCTTATTATGCACCTGTCTACCGTTGTGTACAGTGTTGTCAGCAACTGTTTTTGTTTTCCAAAAAAAAAATAACACCTGACAAGAAAGTCTCATTTCTGCTACTCAGTGCCAAATAAATTTCAACGGTCACAATTTATGCCAAACAGCAAACCGCTTAGCTATGTGTCTAATAAAACCTCTGTAACTTTGTGAAAAACACAAAAGTTTATGTTTTTCACTTTCTACTATTAAAATCTCTGATTTTTATGACTACAGTTAAAAAACAACAACAAAATGGACAATCTGGACAATGAGCTACCAGAATTTGTAATTTTACACACTTTTTTCTTACTATTTAAGCCTGCCATATAACACCAATTGTGACATGGACATTATTAACAACTAGTAATAATAATACCAGTTGTTAACAGCAGTCCAACAACTTTCTTCATTCATCATTTATATTTTCACTTAGTATTTATAATAATTCAATACATTTCTATCAGAGCCTGTCACAAAGAAGGTTATCAACACACTTTTCAGCATAGTTTTTGTTGTGGAAATGAGCCCTGTCTCTACTGATGTGAGCCTACATCAGTGAAAGGATGAATGCTGCAATCAAAATTTTATTGTGTATAAACCAACTGTCCTTTAGAGAAAGTCTTAAAAACCCAATAGCTGAATACTTCGTATAGGCACTGTGCTAATATACAAACAGGCTTCCTACTCAACATCACAGTATTTGCATACAGGTGGGTAGCAACCAACTCTTCAACTGCTGAATAATATAATACCTTGGCTTTACATTATATGCAAACCACTGCGGAATATTCATACACTTTTTTAATAGAGATTTTACACTGCCCAACCTTTGTCAAATTATGGTTATTTTAGTAAAGAAATAAGGTACTTACATTTTGTTGTTTTAGTTAAAACTGTTGGAAAAATTTAGTCTGCTACATGGAAGATTTAGTTGAATTTTGCCAAGGTATTAAATGATTCAATAGTTATGATGTTAACAGGTGATCAGGTGATACACATACAGCAAATTCTGACAAAAATGTCTACTTACAGACGTATCGCAGCCAACAACATGAAATCTGCATGGAGCTTTAAATTTACTGCAGAACTTAATATGGTCCACATACTGCAAAACAAAAAATATGAAAGAAGCTAATGATCTGTAGAATACGGTGTAGAATTTGATCCCTAGCTAAATGGCAAATGAGATTAATCTAACAGAATTATGAAAAAAAAATTAAATCTCTGCAGTACCTTTTCTCTGGGGATCTTTTTCTTCGCACAACCTTCACAAATCATTGGATACTTTGGACAGATCTCATCATGAGCCTGAAAAAATAAGTAGATCAGAATAAAAGAAAACACTTCTCGTCCAGCTCCTTGCCTTAACTATTTAACTTAACACCAGTTTAACTATATAGATGCCTTAAGGCATGCAGAGGTAGTTCATACTGATATAAGAAAATTACATAAATTAGCCAAATTAGATGTTATTGTTGTTAGTCCTGTTTGTAGGTGTACAGATGACTATCACTGAAATACCACAATATGGGTGAAAGCTCATTCAGTGGTTACTGAATTTACTCAATGGTCATTTATGAATAGCTTTAAAGGTAAATATATCTTTGTTTTCCTTTTATTTCACTAAAACTATATTTGTATCATATCTGTGTGCTTGAATATGTCTGAGAAGGGTAAATTTAAACCCAAATGTAATGGCACAAAAACAAGTGTTTACGGGTATGTGGTGACAATGAGTCAGCATTTCAATTCAATTCAGTTTTATTTATACAGCACCAAATCACTACATCAGTCGCCTCAAGGTGCTATATTATTGTAAGGTAGACCCTACAATAATACATACTGAGAAAAACCCAACAGTCATATGACCCCCTATGAGCAAGCACTTTGGTGACAGTGAGAAGGAAAAACTCCCTTTTAATAGGAAGAAACATCCGGCAGAACCAGGCTCAGATCATTTCCCATGAAATATTGGACACACTTGCCATATACTTCTACATATCTTATACTTCACTGATGACTAAGTGCTGAGACAAGATGGCCATAAGATAAGGCTGAATACCATGGAAAACGTAATAAGCAAAGGTTGAGATTACAATATTTTATCATATGCATTTAATCACATATACTGCATCATAACATAAACGTCAACTAAATTAGCATCATGTTAATGTTTCAGAATGCAACAGCTCTTTTTATGATGCATTACTGTAACAGAGAGAAGCCTGACCTTGATATTCTTTAACAGGAAGGGTTCTTTGCAGTATTTGCAGTTGAGCGTTCTCTCCGGACACTCTCTCTCATTGTGGCGTTCCTGCTCATTGGCTCTCATGAGCTCTTTACAGGAAGGACAGAGGATGATCATGAAGTCACAGTTGCCCTCGTGGCTGGCCTGTAGGTGACCAAAACAACTTTACATATTGTCCAATTACTGTATGATAAAATTGTTTGTACGGTTAACTTGATGACGTTACAATGAGCAGATATAGTATTATGTTGTATCTCACATGAGGCCAAGTTAAACCCTTTTGAGGTGAGAATACTGACCAGGTAATAAAATAAAATAAAACATGTACAAAAAGTTGTTAAAACCATTTTAGAAGAACATACTCTAATTTTTCAGTTAGAAGTTGCATGACTGAGCCAAGTTCAACACTAGGCAATAGTTCAGTCGACCAGAACAGCCTTAATGAGTAGTCACACTACAGTGGAAAAGCAATCAAGATCCAAGATCTGCCTTACTGCCCCCTGGGAAAATCTCTCTTGTTGCCACATAGAACCCATTCCAGTCACATAAAATGCATCCATCCAAAAAGTGCAAAAGTTCATATGGGTAATGATGAAAAAAATATAAGTGTAAGAGTAAACTCCTGCAAATACAGACATATAAATGGTAAATGGCCTGCATTTGTATAGTGCTTTACTCAGTCTAAGGATCCCAAAGCGCTTTACACTACATTCAGTCATTCACCCATTCACACACACATTCACACACTGGCAATGGTGAGCTACGTTGTAGCCACAGCTGCCCTGGGGCACACTGATAGAGGTGAGGCTGCTGGACACTGGCGCCACCGGGCCCTCTGACCACCACCAGTAGGCAAACATATATACAGTGGGGCAAAAAAGTATTTAGTCAGCCACCGATTGTGCAAGTTCCCCCACTTAAAATGATGACAGAGGTCAGTAATTTGCACCAGAGGTACACTTCAACTGTGAGAGACAGAATGTGAAAAAAAAATCCATGAATCCACATGGTAGGATTTGTAAAGAATTTATTCGTAAATTAGGGTGGAAAATAAGTATTTGGTCACCTCAAACAAGGAAAATCTCTGGCTCTCACAGACCTGTAACGTCTTCTGTAAGAAGCTTTTCTGTCCCCCACTCGTTACTAGAGATAGCACGATACCACTTTTTTATGTCCGATACCGATACCGATATCATAAATTTGGATAACTGCCGATACCGATATGAATCCGATATAGTGTTTTTTAATAAACAAAACTGTTTTTTAAATATCTTACTGCCCGGGCAACAAAGGAGTGGCTCCGTAAGAAGCATTTGAAAGTCCTGGAGTGGCCTAGCCAGTCTCCAGACCTCAACCCCATAGAAAATCTGTGGCTGGAGTTGAAAGTCCGTGTTGCTCGGCGACAGCCCCAAAACATCACTGCTCTCGAGAAGATCTGCATGGAGGAATGGGCCAAAATACCAGCTACTGTGTGTGCAAACCTGGTAAAGACCTATAGTAAACGTTTGACCTCTGTTATTACCAACAAAGGTTATGTTACAAAGTATTGAGTTGTATTTTTGTTATTGACCAAATACTTATTTTCCACCCTGATTTACGAATAAATTCTTTACAAATCCTACCATGTGGATTCATGGATTTTTTTTCACATTCTGTCTCTCACAGTTGAAGTGTACCTCTGGTGCAAATTACTGACCTCTGTCATCATTTTAGGTGGGGGAACTTGCACAATCGGTGGCTGACTAAATACTTTTTTGCCCCACTGTACATACAATATATACTGTACATATATAGATATGTCACAAAACTGGTTATTCCAAATTAACAAATGATACTCAAATCAAATCAAATCACAATCAAATCACTTTTATTGTCACATCACATGTGCAGGTACATTGGTACAGTACATGTGAGTGAAATTCTCGTGTGCGAGCTTCACAAGCAACAGAGTTGTGCAAAACACAATAACGTAAACAAGCAAAATACAAGAATGGCTACATCTGAAACTAATAAATATATGTACAATATATAATAGTATATGCATTTCTGGATGTGTATACTAAATATTTTTCTACGTGTGTGTGTGTGTGTGTGTGTGTGTGTGTGTGTGTGTGTGTGTGTGTGTATACACATATTTTACAAATTAAATAGAGTAAACAATAAATAAAATATATAAAAATATACAGAGTTGAGACATGTGCAAAACAGTGGCATTACTGTACAGTATGGAGTGCATAATGTTGAAGTTCCAGTAGTGAAGCTGAGGTGTCTATGACGTGTTCAGCAGTCTGATGGCCTGGTGGAAGAAGCTGTCTCTCAGTCTGCTGGTTCGGGACCGGATGCTGCACAACCTCCTTCCTGAGGGAAGTAGTCTGAACAGTTTATGGCTGGGGTGACTGGAGTCCTTGATGATCCTCCCCGCTTTCCTCAGGCAGCGCTCCTCTTGGAGGGGAGGGAAGCTCACCTCCAATTATCCGTTCAGAGCACCGCACTACTCGCTGGAGAGCTTTGCAGTTGTAGGCGGTGCTGTTGCCATACCAGGTGGTGATGCATCCAGTGAGGATGCTCTCAATGGCACAGTGATAGAAGGTCCTGAGGATGCCAAATCTTTTCAGTCTCCTGAGAAAGAAGAGGCGCTGCTGCACCTTCTTCACTGTTTTGTTTGTGTGTACTGACCACGTAAGATCCTCAGCCAGATGTACACCAAGGAACCGGAAGCTGCTCACTCTCTCCACAGCAGCGCTGTTGATGGTGATGGGGGTGTGTACTTCTCTGCACCTCCAGAAGTCCACTATCAACTCCTTTGTCTTTGCGACGTTGAGTGTGAGATGGTTGTCTTGACACCAGTGGGTCAGGGCGCTGACCTCCTCCCTGTAGGCCGTCTCATCACCGTTGGTGATAAGACCCACCACTGTAGTGTCGTCCGCAAACTTCACAATGATGTTGGAGTTGTTAGTGGCTGTGCAGTCGTAGGTGTAGAGTGAGTATAGGAGAGGGCTCAGTACACACCCCTGTGGAGCACCAGTGTTCAGTGTGATGGGGGATGAGGTGATGCTGCCCAGTCTGACCACTTGGCGTTTGTCAGACAGGAAGCTAAGGATCCAGCTGCAGAGGGAGCTGCTCAGTCCTAGATCCTGCAGTTTCCTGTCCAGCTTCGAGGGAACGATGGTATTGAATGCTGAGCTGTAATCTACAAACAGCATTCTCACATACATGTCTCTCTTCTCCAGGTGTGACAGGGCAGTATGTAGTGTCAGGGCTATGGCATCATCAGTGGACCTGTTGTGGCGGTATGCGAACTGTAGAGGGTCCAGTGAGTCGGGTAGTGCAGAGCAGATGAAGTCCCTGACCAGCTTCTTGAAGCATTTACTTACGATGGGGGTTAGGGCTACAGGTCGCCAGTTGTTCAGTGAGGAGATGGTGGAGGATTTGGGTACAGGGACGATGGTGGCCATTTTGAAGCAGGCTGGGACTACAGACAGAGAGAGGGAAAGGTTGAAGATGTGTGTGAACACTCCAGCCAGCTGAGCCGCGCATGACTTGAGGACGCGGCCGGGAATCCCGTCCGGACCAGTAGCTTTGCGCGCGTTCACCTTCCTGAAGCACTTCCGCACATCCTCCTCAGACACAGTGTGTGCACTGACGTCATCCGCGGTGCGCACACTGTCCGGTCTCATGGTGTTTGCTGTGTCGAATCTAGCGTAGAATACGTTTAGATCCTCACACAGAGAGGCCGTGGTCTGCGGTGTGCTGGTTTTCCCTCTAAAGTCTGTGATCGTGTTTAGTCCCTGCCACATACTACTGGTTCAATGTCATCATTTCAGAATGCATTGGTTCTGCTCGGCTGGTTCCACTCTCCGTTTACATCATTGATTTAAAAAAAATAACCATCTGTTGTCACCACAGGTATAATTAATTACTTAATTTCTTTCAATTAGAGCTGGGCGATAGAACGATAACAATATGTATTGTGAAATAACTTTTTCTTGATAGAAAAATTAAACTATTGCGATAGGCCTCATCTCGCTTGTCCTCTTAAAAAAAAAAAAAAAAGGACAGCCAATGCAAATTAAGTAGTGCAGAGCCGAACCAATCACAGCCGCAGCGTCACGTCACGTGACTTGTTACGTACAGCTCAAGTGCCAAGCCGCACATGTGTATTTGTTTGGGAAGCAGCCAGCCGCCGTGCCGCCGGGTAATGGAGGAAATGAGTGTGCTAACTAGAGAAAAATCAACCGAGAGCGTGACCGAAGGTTACCGAAGAGAACACAGATGATGGTTCCAATGCCGGAGAGATTGCCGGAAGAGCCATAGAAGTTCCGTAGTGTGAAGGTGTATAGGATAAAGGTCTAATCATCTCTTAGTTTAGTCAGATTGCACAGAGTCTATATTTCTTAATAATATGAATGATTTTGGATAAGGATAAGTGTAAGAGAATGGGGAATTTCAGTTTTTACTTTATAATTTGTTTAGCGTAAGATTTGCAGTTAAATTGTATTTTTTCTTGCCTTATTTAATTTGTACGTACTGTTCCTTTAACACACGGTAACTGTGCACGGGGGAGCGTTCGCGACGGGCAGTGTGGAGCTACGGGGGCTTTAACTAGCTGTGGAGAAAAACTGTTTCTTACCGTGTTTGCAGTGTACAGGAACATTCAAATGGATCACTGTATTTCAAACTGTGGAAATAAATGTTTGCCTGTTTGTTTTTCAACTACAAGCGGACTTTGTGGATTATGTTCAACTGCACTAAGACACGCGTACGGCCCGACTACCAGCTAGTGCTTCCGCGGTAATAGAAGGTATTTCGGCTATTTCAAGTCTGACAAAAACAGAGTAGCGCACACTGTTGTGCCAAAAGCAAGTCTGGAAATACAATAAAGCGGTGCATGCTCAATCTCTGACTGGAAGCGCTAATTCGTCATTCGGCTTTTGTCAGACTAAAGTAACTGTTAAAACTGTTTGAAAAGCTAAGCTATACAACAAGGAGAGATTGAGAATTTCCTTTTAGTTCTCAGTTTATTTGATATTGACAAAAGTTAGTCAATTTTGTCTGTTCTTCTGTAAAACAAACTAGGATTTATTTTTAGAATTAATATTTTGTTTTTAAGTGGAATTGACAATTATTCTGTTTTGTTTGTTGTA